CCTTGTTTTTCAAAACACTTTTCCAGATTTTTTTTATCATAGATTTTTGCAGATCATGCCAAAAACACTTAGTATTTCAGTTTGAACCCTCTTCTCAACAGGTGGTCACAGAACAACATGGGGAGTGATTCCTCTTTCATCAGTGCAGCAGTCTCAGACAACAATACCCAGCCTGAAATCTTTTATTTTGCAATAAAACACAAATAGAGGGCGTCAACATATGCTTTAAAATGCACAATTAAAAAATGGCCATGTGCATATAGTGGTTGGTAGCTAGTCAATAAACAAATTACAGTAAACCTATGCTGATTAAATGCTAGGCACTATGGCTAGAAACGTAGTTAACTTACCTAGGCTTTCAATGAGTAGAACTACCACTGTTGACTTCCCAAAGAGGGGCAGGTGTCATATCTGTGACCAAAAACATAATGAAGCACATCACATAACCATGGAGATACAAACTGCTGAAACCATGCTGCTCATGACACCTGTTCATTGTAGACATGTAGCTAATGTAGTACTGTATGTTGTTTTGGCTGCATGCGCTATAAAATTTATGTTAGAAATAATTCTAGAAGTAATTCTTAATTTCTAAGAATATTGCACTGATATCACTAGATGTATGCTGATGTACTAGCACAGTACATTTTACAATGTAAAAACTGGGCGCTCCATAAGTTCCCACACAGTGTTCTTGTTGGTCTTTCAATTTTATTCTGTAGGGTATGAGTGAATTTAATTACTTCTGTGCAACTGAACTAATGGCTGAAAAAGGACAGTTCTTGATGAAAGAGCAAATGGTATAATTTTAATACTACACCCAGGTACTTTATTTGTATGGCTTTCCTAGAGTAATTTGACCCCCAAACTCTGAATTGTTATGATCTTTCTTTTGACCATGGGTTAATAATGTTTTGAATGAAGCCAACGAGATTGCAGGCCAATTTGGGGATAATGTACTTTCACTTGTCATTCCTATGTGATAAACTCTCCAAAAAAAATAGAAAACTTGTCCACTTGTTTTGCTCTAGGCATATCATTAAGTACATGTCACTTCCTTATTTGCCTTAAATATTATACAGCACAAGTCAGTGCCACATATAAAGTTTACTGTGGAGCAATTGTAAATTTGACAAGATGCTGAGTAATCTCTTATTAGCACTTACCTAATTTTAAACTGGATATTAAAAGAATCCTGTAGATTTACCTGTTTAGGTGCAAATATTACAATGTATTGCAAACTACAGCCACTGGAAATTGAAAACAAAAGCTCTGCTTTTCATTTTTGAACTAATGGACAGGCTCTGAGTCATGGGGTATTGCTTTCAGATCTATGAACCCATGATAAAAAAGATACCAATAGAAGAGAATATATGTAGCTCAGGGTTGCATTGTAGAGTTCTTGGGGTTCTCTGAGCTTGGTTGTTTTCTTGCAGATGTTTTGTTACCCAGCTACTGTAGGTAACATCTTCAGTGCTAGAAGGGAGTGGGGTTTGCTCTCTGTTTATATACAGTAGCTTGCCCTGTAACTGTTGAGGGAGTGCTGTTTTCTCCTTGGTAGTTCCTTGATTAGGCTGTTGTTTACTGCTTGATTGTCTGTCTGAATTGGTAGTTCTTTGATTAGGGTATTGTTTACTGCTTGTTTGTCTGGGGTTGATCCTAGTGTTAATCCCTGCTTATCTAGGTGTTGATTGCTGATGAGGAGGTGTTCTGGTCTTTTTGTTTCTTTTTTATTGTCTCTTTTGAATAGCGTGTAAATGTTGTTTATCTCTATGTCACTGTTGATGGCTAACTTGTCTGAATACCAAGCTTCCAGGAATTCCCTCACATTTTTGGATTTAGCTTGATCTAAG